TAAATCAACCACAAAACCAAAAAACTTCATCCTGGTTTTTTTGCTCCTCGTAACACAATTTGCACATGGGCTGGAATCCTAAACAATTAAAATACTTCCTACTGCTTTTGTCTTTTATAGCTATTAGACTGAATTTGAGATCTCTATTAGTTTAATATAGTTTTCCTACTGGCTTCTTTATATAATGTATATTGCAGATATACAACATTGCTTTTTTTTTACTTTTTTTTTTTTTACTTTTTTTTTTTTTAATTTCTAGAATACCTATGCAATTGAATGCTGTTGAATGAAATTACTTGCATGAAAAAGTGCACACAGAGTGAGGCATGAGACTACGGAAATGAAGTGTCCTTTGGTTTGAGGAGGTTGACACTGACCCATATACAGCTCTTGATCACGTCCCATCCTTCACAGAGATTTCTATTATAACCGTGTCAAGACCAACTTAGGCCAGCCCAGCCAAATGTGCGGATTACATCTGGGTCCTTTGAGTCATGCTACAAAAAAAGGTGCAACAATAAACAAGTCCATGTGCATTCTCAGTCATAACTATGAGCAGAAGAACCCTTGAGATTCCTCACTTTGGCATTAAATAACAATTATAAAGGCGTTTAGAATTAAAGCAATTGGGACTTGAAATGTTAACAGTCCCAAGTAACTTGTCAATTGAAATAAGACTCATCCCTACTCATAAATAAATAATCTCTTTCCTGGTCTCACTTCCACGCCAGGATCAATATCTCTTAACATCTTACTTATTTTATTACTGCTTTTGGTTTTCTGGGACTGATTGAAAGTTGCTCAGAGGAAATCTTTGGTTTTGCTTAAGTGTCCGTGACATTTAATCATGACTTTCCTTGCAGTTTAATTCCAACCAGTCAATCAGTTAATCCACTTCAATTGATTCTGTGCTCTCTGTTATTGGCTTGCACTCATTGGGCATCCTCTGGTGTCGACTCAGCTGGGTGGCTTGTGTGAAGCTCCTCTCACACCTCTCGCACCTGGTGAAGGCAAGAGAGAAAATTGAGACCAGGAAGCTGCTCGAGGGGGGGGGTGTGACGGGCTTTGTCTTATCCTGCCTAATCAGAACAGACACTCAAAAGTGGCTTCAGATTTTACTGGCTCAAGAGGTTTAATTGGTGGCTACTTCCAAGGCCTTGATGCCTATGATGGGACAAGGCCTGTCTGATTCAGAACAGAGGAATCTGTCAATAGACAGGGGGAAGGTGATTTCTCCAGAGAGGCCTGTCCTGCTGTAGCTCTGATCACTGTCAGTTCAAATAGATAAAGAACAAAAAGAGATTTTTAGGAGTGAGCCATCAAAGAAGCAGCTTGTCTGCAGTTTTCTGCTCTGTAACCTCTAGGAGAAATTGATGACAAATAGAATTTCACCTTCTGCTAATTTAAAATCCACAATTGCCTATTGGAAGAAGAGAAATCACAAAGCAATAATCATTCAGTGCTAGAACAAGAGAAAACTCTTTGTTTATCTGATCTGACTATGCAGCAGGGTTCATTTTAAATAATCCCATAGAGTTAATTATCTGAAAACAGCCATGCTATTTGAGAAATCTGTGGATTGAGCAAGAATTTATAACAGTCTCCAGTGCTCGGTTCACTGACTGTTATCTCTGTTTCTGCGTTGTCCTCTTGTTAGAGAACTGTAACCTGCAGCAAAAATAGTGTGAATGAATGAACAAAGCCATTGAATTTTGGAGGGGTTAGGATGGCGCTTATTGTTAGCTTGGAATTAATCCCTACCCTTGCTCTGAAAGAGACTCTATTGTATTTAATCTCCTAAATACTACCCTCTTAATTCGCATTCTGGACCCTAGATAGAGGTGTTTGATGAGTTGCAAATACGGATGCAGCTGATTCTTCTTGTATGGCACTCACTCCAAAAGCCAGCTGTGATTTAATGGTGCTGTGTGATGTTTTATCTTCAAAGAAGATTATCATAAAAACATCACTACAATGAATTCTTCACCTTCAAAGAAGAAGTGAGGAAAACAAAAGGCTCAGCTAATTTATATTCATCTTTCTCTCTTCACTGATGTGCACGATAGAAACTGAACCATTACTGATCTAGCTGCTTTAAAAAAAAAAAAAATAAATGTACACATATGCATAATTGTAGAGTATTCTTCAGATTAGTGATTTTTAGTGAGAAAGTTCTGCTTCAGGAACATTTGGCATAGACATTACAGAGTCATTCATCCAAGCTACTATACCAATCTAAAATGTCAACACTTTTAAGTTGTGTTTCTTTGATTGTCTTCCATGGAATATTTTTAGCAGCCTGTTCCTCTGTTAAAAACTGCACTGTGATCTTGACAAATGTAAAATGTCAGCTTTAATGTATCAGACCTATCAGCTCAATGAAAATAACTCAGAAGTATTGATTACTTAATGATTTTTAGGGTATTCATTAACGTCTATGTGCAGATCATCCACTCTCCAGAGCTCCTGAAGTGCTGATGACACATTAGTGTACTGCTGATTGTTTATTAGAAAACTGATTAGTTACTGGATTACTGTGTCAAAATATACTACCTTTCATTGCCTGACAAACTTGCAAATTATTGTATTATTTTAATATACGTGTATATATATATCTATCACAGAGGCATTAGAATCAATTTTAAGGCTGGGGGGTTAACTTAGTCTGCATGAGATATTGCTATCTACTTGAACTTGATAGTTTTGTTATTTTGATGTCTACAAAGACAAGCACTTTGCCTGCTGACTAATAGGAGGCTTGGATCCTTGCCTAACAAAGCTGTAACTGGTAGAGTTGCAAACTAACCTCCAAAATCAGAGGTAGAAACACCTGAATTCTAAGTGCCTGGCCAAATAAATTAAATATAAAGCATCAGGATTCCTGGGGGCCATATGTGAATCAGAAAAAGACTACAAGGTGATAAAAAGACAGTTACTGATTAAAACCACTGGCCATGAAGCTGTGGCAGGTCTCCTTACCCTTTCTGGAGCTTGCCTGGGAGGCTAGAGCTGGGCACTGCATTCATTCTGTGCTTTTGAAAGCACAGAGCAAAGCCCACTGTATTTCTTTAACATTTCTCATCCTTTGTACACAAACTTATTCTGCTATAAGAGCGCTCTAACCCCCCTAGGTACTTTCATACAGACACAGGAAAGAAGGATACTGAAGAGAGACACCGGAAAAGGATAAATCTCTTGCTATGAGCATCTACCCTTTGGACAGGAGGAGTGTGAGTGCCAGGCATTGCTGCTGGTCAGGCTGTACTGTGTGCACTATACAGCCCTTGGGTAAAAGTCAGAATAAAGCCTTTGGGAAGGCACCTAATCCCCCTGGCTCTCTCATAAACCTGGGTAACCTTCAGATAGTACCCGAGATGCCTAGTAATTTCTGGACACTTGTAAAGAGCATGGATGGTGTTTTCAGGACTATAGTTTTGAATATATCAGTACCTGGCTCACAGGTAGGGAGGGACCTGCATTAGGCCCTGACTTTTTTCAGTGTAGTCCAGAAAAGTTATTGCTGGTAGGAATACTGATAGGAAAGATGAAGATGATAGTGTCAAAGCAGTCAGCATAACTGTTTCACAGTAAGTAAGAATGGGAGGAAAAGCAGAAATATTTTTCCTTTTAAATTATTATGATGTATTTTTCACTTCTATCAGCTGTCCTTTCCCAGCCTTTTCACAGGAGAATAACCACTTCAATGACCTGTGTCCATGAGACTGGTGAGCATGTATTTGCATGTTTCTGTGTATGTTTCTGTACTACAACCTACATGTTTGAAGTTGTGTTGGGAGGTTGAAGAGCAACCAAAACAGGTAGAAAGGAATAAGAGTCCCCTCTTGTGCCATCACTCATAAAGTAGCCATGGGCCTGAGCCCAAGCCTAGCTATCACCAAAATTTTGGTTAAACCTCAAGTGCACATACATGCATTGGCAATAAGGACATCTATTAACTGAGAGACAATTTCCACTTAAGCCATCTGATGGCATTTAAGAGTAACTTAAACAGCCCCTGACTATATATCCGAAGAAGCAATTTAAGAGTCCTCACATACTTAGATGCCATCAGCAAAAACTGATTCCACGTTATCTTTTTTTTACAGTGTGTCTGTGCCTTCATTTTAATTGTAAGGAGCAATGCTAAAACATTCAACCTTATCAAACACAAGACTTCATTCTACCACAAGGGTTCCTTATCTGATTTTCTTGAGTGGGAATGGTAAAGAAAATGGCTCTTAAATTCACAAACCACACGAACATTAATGGGTTTTGGATATTTCTAAGATAATGGGTTTTCTGAGTTTGGTTAGATAGCCCGCATTGTCACCGGTCTCCTTATTTGCTTCACAGTGCTTTCAAAACATTTACACTGAGGATTACAAACAGGACTGGCCTAATTCCCAAGTTTACATCAACCTCTGTAAAAGGGTTTGGGTGAAGAAAAATTTGAGGGTCTGTTTTAAGAAAAAATGTCTTTATTTGGTATTTTCAAAACAAAATTTTTTATTCATTAACTACATTTAGCACTAACTTTTTAATATCTTTAAAAAGGTTAAGAAAACCCCAAAACAAAACAAAATAACCCAAATAGGATAAAGTTGAGATGTTGCTGCAGGTATAACGTTTATATTCACTCTGAAACAAACCTTTCCCGTTTTGCATTTCAGTAAGAAACAATGAAAAACACCTGGGTTATCCCAATCTGAAAGAATCTTTTCTCCAATTTGTTTTAGTTAATTCCTAATGTGAGATGTTTGTAGGTTAACCCTGATTCTAGAGGCAAGTCCCTTAGCTATTTTTAATTTTGCTGAAAGTGAAGGGATTTTGGAGAAAGAATTTACAAAAATGAGGATGGACAACTATTTCCCTTCTCCTCCTACCTTTCAATTCACTTAAGAGCTTTGTTCCCAGACTAGCAGCCATAGTGGAGACTTCAGGAAGATAAGAATACACAAAAACTTTACAGTGAGGCTGACTTGATAGCTTGTGATGACATGAAAAGAAATCCCTTCTAACTGGACCTGCAGCCCAGGCAATACAGCTAAAGCTTTGACTACAGATAACCTCACTTAGCATTGTTATCTGTAACGAAAAGCAAATAGAAAAGTCTTCCACCATACATCCAAAGTTACTCAGGACCTACACAGAAAGCACATTCTCACAGGAAAAGCTTTTTAACCAACCACAGACTTTGTCTTAAATAACAATTAATTTGAAATATTTTAAGACACTGCCACTCTATGCTCACCATTTTAAAACCACCTTCTGAAAATAACATGCATGCAAACATACGCTCAGAGTCTGACATCACCTGTTTAATCCATTCACACTGTAATTTGTTCAAACACCACTCACAAACCTTACTGCATTACTGCATTAGAAATGGTGAGTTACATTCACAGTAGGTGCAAGTTAACTGTCCAGCTGACTGCCCATTTCCACCTATGACACTGAACTTAGTGATTTTAAAAATAACCTATCTAGAATTTAAGTAATCTGTCACTATCTATGCATGGTTGTTCTTGCTAATAGTAGCCTTACTATACATGCAGACATTTCTGTGGTACAGAAACTGTATTTCATCACTTTTCTGTTTTGTACCTTCTTTAGTACACTCGAAATCCCTTTGTAAACAAACATTTAAAACTTCAATTCCATGATCAAGAGACAGAAGTCTTGTTTGTCCTTTTATGATTCTTGCTTAATAGGATTTGTTGAGTTTTTTTCCTAAGCTGACTTAATACCAGGTCTTTGACCATCCTTTTCAAAGGAGGCTCTAAACGGTGATGAGACATAAAGGTGAGCTGCAGATACCTCTTTTTCTTCTACCAGAGATGGTCTATTAATTTCTGGGTAAGTTTTCTGCCTTTCCCCTCTCTCAAGTGCAAGCAGTCCTGCATGGGAGGAATATCTGCCCTTCTGAACAACTTGCAGGATCAAGGTGTATGTGTCCCTTTATCTGACCAGCAGGGATGGGAAGATCTGGAGCTCCAGATTTAGCTTCATGTGAAATTACTAGTCAGTTTGCTGCAAACACTTCAAGTCTTCCAGAGAGAAACTAGTATTACTGTTTCTTGAGTTTGGGGAAGAAACTAAGCAGAGATTTTACAAAAATGAAATCATGCCATATGTCATAAAGAAGCGGTACAAAGTATCCACATATTTTGTCGCTCTGCCCTGCAGCTTTAAGAACGGGCATATATATCCTGTAATACTTAAATTCTTCAGTATAAGCAAGGCAAAACAAAAAAAAAAAAAAAAAAAAAAGAAAAACTAAACAAATCCCATGCCACTGGTTAACTGTAGTACATATATTAAGACCTTACACAAATGAAATCGTACTGTTGTCATGACCATTTTGGAAAAGGGGAAAAAAATTACTAAACCAGAGAAGAAAAATAATGACTCCAAATGGGGCAAAATAGCAGATAAATTGGAAACATGACAAAAACAGGATGTTAAGGAAAAAAATTAAGTGGAGTCAACAAGGTTACACATAAGTAACACCTTAACATTAAAAGAAATCTATTTTCCATTTTGACCCGTAAACCTCTTCCATTAATTACTAAAATCTATTTACACAGCAACTAGATAAAATCAATCTGATTGCTCACACTATTTTTGTCTCACTTTCTATGGGCTCTGAGCATTCAACAGGCTGGGTTTCCGTGTTGTGCCACCTATAACAGTATCCTAGTCATGGTTTCTGGTACACAAGCTCTTCTGTACTAGGTATGAAGTATTTGGCTCCTGGCCCCCAGCAGATACACATATGGAGGCCATGCTTCCTTTCAACCATATATGGAGGCAAAGCAACTCTACCGATATCTCTACCAAGCTCGTTATGAGGAGTTCTGACAGGCCCCATGGCTGAGCCCTCTTACATTAACCAGATGAAGAGCACAGTATGACAAAAGTAGAAACAAGGGACAAATGGAGAAGACTAGACAGAGGGCAGACAGTTCTTGGAGAACTGGGAGTCACACACACACCTTCTACACTAACTCCCGTTCATCATGGGAACATCAGGTTGCTTCCAAACGAAGTGATACCGATACATTATAAATTGATATCAATACGTTATTTTTCTTCCAAAGTGGAATTATCCCTGATACAATATCCATAAAATTTATGCCTGTCAGTCCAACAAAGACACAGACACAAACATGGAAAATTCGTATTCTGTCTTGGAGAATACCTCCTGTTAAGTAGAGTCTTGCACAACAGAAGGCAATAGCTACCTGGTCAGCTGTGCTATGGCTGGAGGTAAGCATACAGGGAATATTTCTGAGACGCAGGCATGTGCTTGGCTTCAAATTCAGTAATCAGAAACTGCAGAAATAAGCAGAATCTGTTTAATTAAAAAACATCTTGACCAGGTGATTTTTTTTTTCTCTTATCTTGGACAGTTTAACACTGTCAATTTATTATTATGATCTTACCAAAAATGCCACAAGCAGAGTTGCATTGTCTCTGAAGTGACCCTGAGATTAAAAAAAAAGATATATATTTCTCCCCAGTACTTAACAAGATCCAAATTAGCTTTTATGTGAAGCTCCAGCTCCCTCAGCATATGGGCATCAGAGCATCATAGTAATGGTCTTTACAGCAGAAACATATCCCAGTCTTGAGTGTATTTTCAGCTATGGTTCTCTGGCAGCAACTTCTTGTCTAGTTAAAACAATCTAGTCCTCATCGTAGGACAGAAACTTGTTCAGGGCTTGCAAGATAGCCAAACATACGTCTGGTGGAATTCTGATGTTAGCCACCCCTAGCGGTTATATCTGGTGATCTGACCTTCATATTCAAGGGAACCTCTACCATATGCTGGTATGGAGCAGTGATGCCAGTGAACAGCAGTGATGCGTTTCCCTCTCTAATCTCAGCTGGCAAAGGCTGCTGGCTTCAAGTACTTACTTGAAGGGCTTTTCCCCAGTGTGTGTCCGGATGTGATTGTTGAGAGTTGTGGCACCAGCAAAGGCACGACCACAGTAGCCACACTTGAAAGGCCTGTCACTGGAGTGCGTAACTACGTGGTTCCTCAGCTCTGAAGGTTGGGAGAAAGACTGGGAGCAGTGACCACACTGATAGGGCCTGCAATGGGAAAGAGAAACACCATGCTGTCAATGCTTTCTGTTGATGTTATCAGGAAACCATATGGGCAGGAATATCTGGTCCTCCCAGTAATTGCAAAGAGAACTGTGGATGCACTTCTCTGGGGCTTTCTTGGAAGATACATACTCAGAGCTTCATGACTTATTTAGCAAACATGAAATGCTTGTGCAGGAATTGATGGAGAGTCTAAGGGCATCATTCCTCACAAAACATAATTTAGCGAGCTAGTGAGGCTGCACTACACATCATATGCCTGCATTATTCCTCCCAAACTCAACATTGTACTTCTTAGTCACAAAAAACTCCTCACGCATCAGAGCTAAGAGACTCATGAAGTCCTCTGTCTGCCGGTACCAGCTGCAGTCTTACCTACAGATAACGTTATACCTACATCCTAGGTGGATTCTGTGACTGTTACCAATTAAGTTCTTCATATTGCTCTGGAGGAATCTATGGGTTTTGAGATCACCTTTTTCCATGAGGGACACTGGAAAAAATAACCACCATGTTATAATTGCCTTTCTATTTTCTTATTGCTATTGAAAACATTTGCATTTAATTAACATCTCTCCCATCCAGATTGAAAAAGCCTTTTCTGTAATCTTGAACCAGACCCTAGGTTTTTAACATGACAGTTTGTTAAAAACAAACATAACAAACAAACAAAACTGACTGATAAGTAAAAATTCAGAATCCTAACAAACAGAATGTAAACACAAAAAGAAAAGGATACAAGACAGTAAGGTGGGACAGGACTGCTGAAATGCAAATATCATGGCTAAATTAAAATGTGAAGAAAAAATGTCTATATATCTCTGTTTGATAAAAAATATTTAGTATCAACATCCTACAGCATTTTTCTCCTTTTCATATTTGACTTAAGTTAATGACACAGTCCTACATGCTCATTAGAGTTTTTGTTAAGAAAATTAAGAATTTTTCTAGAGAGAAATTAATGATTTTTAACCTGCACTACATTTTAAGGTACAGCTCTTGATGTCTGCATTTCTAGACCCAGTGGCCAACACCAACTTAATTGCTCTCTCTTTAATAAATTTGTATGTTTAAATAGCTAGAAACCAAAACTAAAGGGAAGGAGACAATGGTGACTAAGCATGTACAATTCAATTAAGTGCAAAATAAAGTGAACTATCTAATTTATCAAGTGAACTGCTTAATTGTGGCTACTTGCATCACTGAACACAAATGCTATTATTTTACAGTGCTTCAGAGCACTGAACCTTGATTGTAGAATTTTTTAGCTTGATTAATAGCTCAGTATTGGTCAATAACTCAATAGCTTACAATTTTAATTACTTACATTTGAAAATCTAACTGCTCTCCAAAAAGTCTGAAAGAAATATTTAACAGCTGTGCAAAGGTTACTTAACCTGGATGATATGGCCCTTAAAAAAAAAATGAATATATGGAAAATAATACTTTCATGAAAAAAAAAAAAAAAGTACTGAATATCTGTTTTCTTATTGGAAGGCAAGTAGCAGCATGTCCAGTCTTCTTCCTTGAAGTTAATGTGCACAGAAAATATTCATCAAAATTGACATGAAAATTCAAGTGCTGATAAAACAAAGATGATTTGTGAATGAAGACTTACTTGTTTGGGTATTTTCAAACCAAACAGTTCTGAGCACAAAGAACACATTAAGATATTCTGTATCCAAGAAAAATTGATTTTCTAATAGTGGAAGGGATCATTAACATCTATTAGCCGCTGGTTATCTATTTCTAACAGCTACCACAATAAATGATATAACACTACGCAAAACCAATTAATCTTACATTTTTTTAACAGTTGGTGTGATTAATTTCATACAGTGAAAAGTCACACTGTAACTTGTCTGTAAATAGCCAAAATTCCAAACCAGTTATAAATGAACTTTGTGGTGCCAGCTAAAATGGTTTTACATGACGGTTTGTTAAAAACAAACATAACAAACAAACCCTACACTAGCTCAAAACAATTTCTTTTTATAAAGGATATTAATATGTGTACTCAGAACACATTTCAGTGGCTGATGTTCAGGAAAAAAAAGAGCCCTATTAAAAAAAAATCACCTATTGTTAGATCAATTTGACTGTACTTTTTCCATTTATCTGTATCTTGGGAGAACAACTATTAGAGAAGTTACTGTGCTCTGTAGGTGATTCACTCCTCCAGTTGATACACAGGTGATTTAGATTAATACTAAAATGGGCAGAGTAAGTAATTCTTTTTCAGGCTAGACATATGGCACACATTAATTAAAGCTCATTTTAAAAAGATGGCCTATATATGCATTGAAATACTGTAACAGTTTTTAAATGCTGTGTCTAATTTGCACAATTGCAGATTAAATTTTGAAAAGCTTTTGGGTACTACTATTTTTCCTAAGAGCAAAAGAAGCATAAAAGTTATCATTTTGTTCCCTGGTAACCATTTTACTGTGCTCAGAATTTTTTCTTGTCAGAAAATAAAATCAATATGTTGGGTTTTTTTTAAAAAAAATGAAAGTGGTGCAGAAGGCCTGAACATGAGCAATGCTCGGTTCAGTGAGTACATTGACACGGGCAGAGCCGTCTTGTCTTTGATGTAGCAGTTTTGTCTTCTGCCATCGCTTTGGTCTGCACTGGGACAATGAAATAAGGTGGTTACTTCTTTACAGCAGAGTCTGCAGACAGAAGGAACAGGGATGTAGTGACAAAAATGGTGGTCTTCATAGGCTGTATTTTCAAAGATATGCTGGTAATATGAGTGCAGTACCAGCCCAGAAAAATCTCATATTTGTACCTTTGTACATATTGTACCTTCCTGAGCTTCAAGGTATCCACGTGCAGGTAAGCATAGCTGTGTCACAGCCTGGATGTGTGTTGATGCCCCAGAAAACTAATGTTCAAACAAAACCGATGTCAATCAAAAATATTCCTTTGAAGATGTATAGGCAGATTTGCAAGCATGAAAGTAGTCAGTTTGATGAAGATGTACCAGGGCCTCAGAGTAAATGCTGACTGGCTGAAGGATTTTTTTTTTTTTCTACAAAAATTTGTTCTTAATCTATCATGTACCAGAAACAACATCATTTTGAATGTCCTTATCATTACATTTTCTAGAAAGGATCTTGTGGACTCTTCCAGATGTAAATCAAGCCTGATCAAAATCTCATACAGTATGTGTGTTACATTCAAGAACAGAGTGATATATAGCAATGTGCAGATAAGAACGATGTGCTTTACAACTATCCAAAGCCATTCTAATATTTTTCAATAAACACTTACATGTATATTTTTGTAGTTGTCTTCCTGTCTGAGCTTAAAGAAAGGAAATCTGCTTACCTAGAATCAAATTCTCCTGTTAGAAAAACTACACTGATGTCATTAACTTCATGCACCATCCATCAGCTAACTAGGTTTACTAAGATGTAGAGTCCACCAGCTTTTTCTAGAGAACCTGAATATGTGATGGACCACTATAAGAACACAGGCCATATAAAGTGAAATTCAGAAACGAGTAATTATAATGTAATAGATTTTGGGTTTTGTAGTTATTCAGATATTGAATTTTTCAAGTTTTTGAAGTTAGATTTTTCAAAACTAAACCTGTCAAGAGTACAACTGTTTCCTCTCAAGACACTCTCTTGAAAGATTTTACTGTTTGGTGAGATGTCTTTTCCTGTCTTACAGTTTTCTTGTTTTGTAGCAAAGTTTTTGTGTGTAAAACTACACCACGTATAGGAGCAATATAAAACCCATGTTCCTCTATGAGGTTTATTGAACCCCAGCAAAATTCATGCTTTTGTGCAGGGCACAGGGAAAATAGAAAAATGTGTACATTTGTATCTGGAATAGCTCCTGACAGACAACAGTACTTTTAGGTTTGGGGGTTTGTTTGTTTGTTTGTTTAGGGTTTTTTTAGATTTTCATTTGGAAAAGTGACATAGCCTTAATTATTTATCTTGTACTATTTCTCTGCTAGAACAATATACTTTCCAACTCCTGACGCTTACATACATCCAGCAAGTGCAAACATACTTGTACATTGTAAATTCATGGTCAGAATTATTAGAATCCTGAAAACCTTATCATTATTCTCCACTTCATTTTCAAGCTCTTTCCTCTAAACCTCTAAACAGGTTCCTAGTAAGGGCTCTTCAGAAGTGAATCTGCTGTTTTCAGGAGGCATGTGGAATCTCAGTACAATCCTTAGAAGAGGAATTGCTTGTAATGGTGAGTTCCTGGATACCTGTACCTCTATCATTGAAACACTGTCAGATCAGGGAGACAAAATAGAACATCATTGTAATTTTTTCCCCTTACAAAAAGATAGAAAAGCATCAGCTGAAAGAAGAGAGACTGACATCTGGTTGGAAGTGATTTTCTTCTTGTTGAGGACTAAGAAGAAGTAAAAAACCCATTTGATTGATGTCAGGGTCTGAAAGCATGGGACACAAGGCTCCACTGAACTCAGGGCAGGGTTTCAGAACATGATAGGGGGAAGCCTGTCACTCCACAGTCTCTGAAAAAAAAAAAAAAATGAAAGCAAGGTACATTGAAATCAGGCCAGCATCGGCTTTCAGGGCCAAGCCTTCATACAACACACAGCATAAAGAGCACAGACACAGTCAGAAGAGGTAGGTCACAGGTGTCCTAATGGAAAGGTATTCTGGAGGGATGCCTACTCCTAGAAAGTTGGACTAAGAAGGTAGAGGACAAAGTGACACCCTAGGATACATGCTAGCTTGCACCCAGAAGCATTGCTCTCATCATTGTGGCCACGGGTGAGTTACATTCACTAGTTCTGGCCTCTACATCTTTTTCTGCCTTGGAGTGCACTGCCCCAAGCACTTCAGGCACCACACAGCAGCAGGGACGGCAGAACTCGACCCGCTGGGACCTGTGGGATTGTCTCTTACAAATGTTTGTGCAGAGAGTAGAAAAAGCCGAAAGTTAATGCACTTGAGGCATTTTTGAACTTCTGAAGCTGTCAGGGAAAGATGATGCTCTGTACACGCTTTGTTGTTATTAACTGTGAGCACTGGGAGTTCGCAAACCTTCGTAAAGAGATTATGCAAGAATAAGCATTAAATTCAGCATGATGTTTACTTTAATTGAGCAATATTCCACAGCCGCTCTGTAAACAGAAATAGACAACTCTTGCACACAACATTTATTTTTTTAGATTTGTTTTGGGAGATGTTTAAATTAATGAATGGACTTGGGGAGAACTTCAGGGTCAAAGACACAGAATCTATAAAGAGAAAGATAAACACAAAATGGGCCGAGCCATCATCTTAGAGAAAAAGATCTGTTAAATTGGCAACTTCAAGCTCCGTTTTTTAAGAAAACCCTCCCAATTTCATACTTAGGTGCTACAGCAACGTATGAATACAATAGTTCCTTTTGAGTAAACAAGAATTGTGAGGGACAGATAACTTCCATAATCTATCACCATGGACACATTCATAAAGTGGGGTTTCCCTCAAATGGTCAGCTTAAATACATGTCAATCAATGAGAATATATATCACACAGAGGTACCTATTGTATATGAAAATGTGCCACACACAGCTCTTGGGAACTGCCTTCCCTAAACACTGACACAACCTGAATCTGGAGATCATAGTGAGAAAGAAGATGTCATTAAAAAGATTGTGTCATTATCAGCAAAGTGGTTAATGTAAACGAAACAAAACAAACAAACCAAACAAAAAAAGAAAAAAAAAACAGCAGCAAAGATTGTTCTAAAAGTGATTTACTGTGATCAAAAGCTTTTGTTACCCCTTTCTATAGCTCCCCCAAACAGGATTGTCCTGAATTTCTGCAGCAGGGGGAGGGAAAAAAGAAAAACAAATAAAAACCAACAACAAAACCAAAATCAGTAATAGAAACAAACAAACAAAAAGATAAAATAGATCTCTGATTCCTTCTTCAAGAAATTGTTCAAATTTCAGGGAAAGTTGCTCAAACTTTTTCTGCCTCAGCAACACTTAAAAAAAAAGCCCCAAAGGCTAAGAAAATCCCAGAATTCAAATCTTCATGGTTTTACATCTCCATCTTCTATATCTACTCCCATCCCAAGTATCATTAAATTTGAAAAGACACCCTACAAAATATAACAGGCTAAAAAAATCACTGTAGAAAAGAAGTAAACTGTAACTAAAACAGTAAATAATTTAAAATTAGTTTTAATTTTATTAAAATCCTGATCTTAATCTAGAACAATAAATACTATAGATAATTTTAATAATTCTCCCTGGTTTGGATTAATAATATTTTAAAAATATTTTTAGTTATTAAATAATCTTCCTGTTAAATTGGACAATTTCTTTCTTACTGGCTAATGGAATTAACTATAGTTTGGCCTGGTTTTTTACATCTGCTTTCATTCACATGTTTTCTGGATCTAAGTGCATTTAAAACATTTTTTTCTTTAAAATTTCTCAAGACCCAGATAGCCTGCTTTTCTGAAGTAGGAGTCCATGACCTGAACTCCTGTATAGGTTCAAAGATATTTTCCCTAC